CTGGGCTCCTCTCTGCCTCTGCCCCCAGCCGGCCCTGCCTCCAGGGTCTTGCTCACTCTCCGTCTGGGCTGTGTTTCCCTGGAGCCCTTTCTCTCTCCTCGTCCTCCTTTGTCACATGGTCACCCAGGCAGCCATGACTGAGCGTCGGCCGTGTGTCATCACCTGTCGCTGTGTCACAGGCACCCCAAAGCCGCGTGGCTGGAAGCAACACCGTTTCATTGCGTCCCATCGTTCTGGGGGTCGGCTGCCAGGGCCCCTCTGTCCGCCTGTGGCCCTCGTGGGCGGTCACCGTCACAGGGTGGCCGGGCTGGATGTCTGGTGTCTCCGTGCTCCTGTGTGGCCTCTGTCCCCCCAGCGGAGCCGGAGTGTCTGACACAGCAGCGCGGGGCTCCGGGAGAGGGAGGCAGGAGCAGTGGCCTCCCTCCCATTGAATCCTGTCGCTCAGGTGTCGGCAAACGTTTCCAGATGGTGGACATCTGTGGGCCATTCCGCTTCTGCCACAACCACTCCGTTATTTTATTTTAAAAAATACATATTTTTATTGATTTCAGGGAGAAGGAGAGAGAGAGATAGAAATATCAATGAGAGCCCTGACCGGTTTGGCTCAGTGGATAGAGCGTCGGCCTGTGGACTGAAGGGTCCCAGGTTCGATTCTGGTCAAGGGCATGTACCTTGGTTGAAAAAAAAAAAAAGAAATATCAATGAGAATCACTGATAAGCTGCCTCCTGCATGCCCCACACTGAGGACCAAGCCTGCAACCCGGGCATGTGCCCTGACTGGGAATTGAACTGTGACCTCCTGGTTCATAGGTCAATGCTTAACCACTGAGCCATGCCAGCTCGGCCAATTCTTTTTTGTTTTATTTCAAAATTTGTTGATTTGAGAGAGAGAGAGAGACATCGATTTGTTGTGCCACTTCTTTGTGCATCCATTGGTTGATTCCTGTACGTGCCCCGACTGGGAATCAAACCCGCCACCTGGAAAAAAAAAAGAAATATCAATGAGAGAGAATCACTGATAAGCTGCCTCCTGCACGTCCCACACTGGGGACCAAGCCTGCAACCCAGGCATGTGCCCTGACTGGGAATCAAACCTTGACCTCTTCATTCATAGCTCAATGCTCAACCACTGAGCCACACCAGCTTGGCCAACTCTTTTTTATTTTATTTCAAAATTTGTTGATTTGAGAGAGAGAGAGAGATCGATTTGTTGTGCCACTTCTTTGTGCACCCATTGGTTGATTCCTGTACGTGTCCCGACTGGGAATCAAACCCGCCACCTTGGCGTGCCAGGACGACACTGTAACCCACTGAGCTACCCGGCCAGGGCCCAGCCACTTAATTCCATTATTGTAGCGAGAGAGCAGCCACAGACCATGCATCACAGAATGGGGGTGGCTGTGTCCCAATGAAGCTTCAGGTATAAAAGCAGGTGCTGGGCTGCATTTGGCCTGCACGCTGGTTTGCAGAGCCCTGAGCTTAAAGCAGCCACAGATTCAAGAGGTGGGGAGTTAGACTCCATGCCGGAGGGGCACACGGGGAAGAATCTGTAACCAGCCACAGCCCGGGCTGCGCTGGGCACGGGGGATATGGTATGGAACTAACTGGAAAGCCATCAGCGCCCTCACAGGGGAGAGGGGGCTGCGTCCCCAGAGGAAATCAATGTGATCGCACTTGTGACTTAATTATAAGCTGTGTCGGAACAGGACAGAAAACGGGGCGGGGGGGGCGGGGGGAGTGTGGTCTGTTCTCGGCATCAGGGTGACCTGGGAGCTCCGTGGTGCACGGGGGCTTTCTGGAACACGCCTGTATGGATTTCGGAAACTGCTCACGGTTGGAAAAGTACTGCTCCGGCCTGTGGTTCTCAAACCCCGTGTGCCCCGGAACCCCGTGGGGAGCTGGTGGAAGCGGACTCTGGCGGAGCAGGTCCGGGTGGGGCGAGATTTGGCTTCTGAGGCTGACGCTGTGGGTCCGTGATCCCTGCTTCGGGCCGCAGCAAGGGTCCGGCTCACACAGGGATGGGGCAGAAGCGCAGGACGTTGGCCGCAGTGTCGTTTATAAGAGCAAGTGATTAGACCCCCAGCCGGTTTGGCTCAGTGGATAGAGGGCCCGCCTGCAGACTGAAAGGCCCAGGTTCGATTCCTGTCAGGGGCTCGGACCTCGGTTGCAGGCTCAATCCCCGGCCCTGGCGGAGGCAACCAATCGCTGTGTCCCTCTCACATCGCTGTTTCTCTCTGTCTCTCCCCCTCCCTCCCACTCTCTCTGGAAATCAGTGGAAAAGTATCCTCGGGTGAAAATTTAAAAAAAAAGAAAAAGAAAAAGAAAAAAGAGCAAATGATTAGATTCAGTGGTTCTCAACCTTCCTAACGCCGCAACCCTTTAATACAGTTCTTCATGTTGTGGTGACCCCCAACCATAAAATTATTTTCGTTGCTACTTCATAACTGTAATGTTGCTACTGTTATGAATCGTAATGTCAATATCTGATATGCAGGATGTATTTAGGCGACCCCTGTGAAAGGGTCGTTCGACCCCCAAAGGGGTCGGGACCCACAGGTTGAGAACCGCTGGATTAGAATCTCCCTCAGGGCCCATCAGGGGCTGGTGGTCAGTGAATGGTGCTGTGTTTCCAATAATGGACGTCTACACCCACCGTGTGGATCGGGCCAGAGAATAGACCTTAGCAAGCATGTCAAACTCAGAGGCTAACACAGGCCAAATAAACGAGGCGTGTGGCCCGCGGGCTGCGAGTTTGACATGTTTGCCTTAGAGAATGGAAGGGGGGAAGGGGTTGGGGCAGGAGGGCAGGGAAGGATGGAGACAGCAGACCCGCTGATGCCCCCTCCCCCCCACACCCTCAGGAGCGGAGGCTGCTGGAGGAGCGGCTGGCCGAGTTCTCCTCCCAGGCCGCCGAGGAGGAGGAGAAGGTCAAGAGCCTCAATAAGCTGCGACTGAAATACGAGGCGACGATTGCGGACATGGAGGGTGAGCGCCTGCCCGCAGTGGGGGCTGTGCACGCGGCCTGGGGGACCTCAGACCAGCCGCCTGTGTCGTGCGCGGGGCCTCAGTGGTTGTATCTGCTGAATGGGGCAGGAAAGAAGGCCGGAGACAGGTTGGGTGTCTTCTCAGCGCTGAGTTTCTGTCTCGCTCAGGGCCATTCTCTTTGGTGTCCTGGGTCACTCTCTCTGACTGTCCCACCCACTGTTTCAGACATTTTTTTGTCTCTGTCCCTTGCTATGTACTCGGAATCAGAAGTCAAAGGGACCAAGCGCAGGAGGTGGCTGGGGAGACGGGGGAGAGGGCAGGGCAGAGAGAGGCAGTGAGCAGTA